GAGTCATTGTCTGGATGGTAATTCAATATTAAATGTGTTCGTAAAGAATCTTTAAATATCTCTTTCTGTAAATAAGTTTGCTACTGTTTTCAAATCCCCTAGTAAGCAAAAGGAGGCAAGATAAAAATGTAGGATATTGTCAATGCTTGTAATGAAAGGGAAGTGGGCAGAAATGGGAAGTGGGCAGAAACAAACTCTCAGCAAGGTGGCTGAGCCTCAGATAATTTCTCTTGCCAGTGGACTTATGCAAAAGAAAGTTTTTTTCTCGGTTAGATATCAGTGAAAGTACAGAGGGAGCAAGCACCAGTAACATTGAATTTTTTCTGAATACACAAAGCACTAAGATGCCATTATCTATAGGTGATGGTCAAGTTCATCAATTTGTCTAATATTAACTGAGAAGCACTTGGTCAACAGTTTTATTGCTTTTCTTTCAAAATCATGATCCATTCTACCTTAGTCTTCACTAATTATGTTTTAGTTATTCTTTCCCTAACTTAAAAAAAGCTGTTCACTTCAAAACAATGCTCTTTCAATGTTATATTTTTTTAGCTACAGTATATGTGGGTTTACCTCTGAACCCAGCAGAGCTGCGGCATATATCCTCCAGATGTAATTCATATGTAGATATATCTTTCTTCTGTAGATTTTAAGAATTTTATCCTGTGTTCAAAGAAAATGATCTTTGTGCTAGACAGCGGTAGAAATATGGGAAGAAAAGAAACATGGTTATTCCCTCACTGCTCTGATGGCCACTGCCTCTATCACACAGCAAAAAGTTCCCATTTCATAGCTGGCAGATATTTTTTTTGTCTCCTATTGATTCAAAACATCAGTAGTGTTCAACAGAAATTTAAATGCCTGTGTAGATCAAGTCTGCATCAACTCTGAACTACAAGATAAGGAATCAGCAGGTTACAAACAGTTACAGTACTATAAACATTTCTGCAGGAAAATCACTGGCCCGGGCTCCTCAAAGATTATAATAGGCACATACAGTCATTATTAAGACATCAAAATAAAATATATAAGTTCAACTTGCAAACGTTGGAAAGTTAGTACTAATAAGTATTGTCGTGAAAATTTTAAAATTATTATCATTTTGTGCAAATGAAACATTAGGATTAACAATCAGAGATATTTTTAAATTCTGTTGTTTCCTTTGGCAAACACAGACTTTGAAAAACTTCTGAGCATATCAGGTGCTTTGGACACAACATATTTGAATGTAAAAGCAGCAGAGATTAAAACCTGTGCTGAGATATTTTGACTTTTTATGTGAGACTCATCTTTTAAAACCCTGCTCTGACAGTACAAAAACACAGGAACTGTGACTGAAGTTACCCTATCTGTGCATCTCTTTTAACTCCTACAAAGCATGGCAGATGTAGCCACAAAGGCAATGGATCTGGATGATGGGGAAAAATCACCATGAACAAAAAGCCATTTCCCTGGTACTGGGGCTGTGTGCAGTTTGAGTCTTCCACACAGATCAATATTAGACCACATAACTCATCAAGTCAGGATGAAGAATAACTCCTGAAAGCATTGGTAGGTGCTAGAAACCAGAAGAAAGATAACTGAGGATAGAAAAGGTAATGCAAATTGAGACAAATCAATTTGTGAACTAGGCCATTGAAACAAAGATCAGGAGTCTAGAAATAAGATTTTGAGATGAGGAGATAATTCCTAACAATGAGTAATGCTAGAAACACAGCTTCTTTTCAGCTTCAAAAACAAGATAGGTGATTTGTGTGCTGCATGCAATTATCCTTAGAAGGCAGTACAGAAAGCAAATGAAGTGAGGAAAGGTAGAGCAAGAATAAGTACATGGAAACAGACAACTCAAGTGAGAAATCTGACTCTTTTTTTTTAAACTATACTTGCAATAAATTTCATGAGAATAAATTAAGACAGCTGATGTTTCTCATGGTTCCAAAGGTTTTCAGTTCACAACTGCACATTCTTTTGGAGCACAGGCTTTATTCACCCAGGTTGCTTTTATCAAGGGAAATGCTGCAGTCAATGTTGCGAGTGATATATAGACATCAGACTGGATGAGGTATCTGTGCCTGAAGATCTGACACTCTATTTTGAGGGTTTATGGAGGGCATAGAAGTGGTTGTTTTGGGGCTTTTATATTTAGTTGATTTAAATTTTGCAGGGTTTTTTTTTGTGGGAGTTTTTGTCTGTGTGTGTTTTGTGTGTTTTGGTTTGTTGAGGGCTTTTTGGGTAGCTGCAAATACAGCTTACAATCTTGCATGGTTTTAATCAATTAGACACCATAGTATGTCAAATAAACATACAAATTATTTCCTATATAGATGTTATGTCCTTCCATCACAACCAAACCCACATTTAGTGAATTAAGTTTTTTTTCTTTTACAACTTGATTCTTCTGAACTAATAATAAAGCATCTCATTTTTCACTGAAAATCCCAGAACAACAGAATTACCTAATTCAAGTAAGAAACACGTGATCTGGCTTTTCACTCAGAACCTGTTCAGCTAGAGCTGAATCCTATACTAGAAACATTTTACAGCTAAAATGATGTCTTCATACCACACCAGCAACACGTCTCTCATATGCTGACATCACTGCACTTCTCCAAGTCAAACCATTCCATCTCTTGCACAGGAAGTTGCACAAATCTTAGCACAGCTTTACACTATAACAGCACAGGCCAATCCACTTGTGCTATCCTGTCAATGACTGCTTCCACAAACTGCACCATCATCCTGAGCTGAAACTTTTTCACAGTACAGAACAAAGGGCTCATTGCTTCATGTCAAAAGGTGTTGAGTAATTTGCTTGGACCAAATCAAGTAGGTCAGACTTGATCAGACTGTGAAACAAAAATCAAAGCCATACCCCAATGTTGGGCACAAATCTTTGTCTGTAACAGAGACCAGAGGCAGCTCAGCTCAACCACAGCGAGGACAAATGCCTGGCTGACCTTTTAGGGTACTGCACTATCAGTACCCTAGTGCTGATTGTCTTTCAGATTTCCTAGCACATGTAAGGATTCTTAGACAAAACATGGCCTTTTGGAAGAGTTTGGAAATGTCCACAGGAGTTGCCTTCCAGAAACAGGATGAGAGGATAGTGCCTTTTCTTGTTTAGAAGGGAACAACAAGCCTGTGTTGCGTCCCAAGGACTGCTACTCTCAATTCTTTATTAATAAGGAACAATAAGGATTAATAAGGACCAATCTACTTCATCAATAAGGACTCTGCATTACAGACCTGGAACTTTAACATGCCCACTGTAAAGGGCTATTTTCTCAGAAATACATGTATTTCCTGTACAAGAGCATAATATCCTTCTAAATTAAATAGGAGACATCCTGGAAGAAGTTTCTCTCCTCTTGATATGTTTACAAAGAAAGGCCTTTGTGTTGCTTGGTTTTGCTCCCTTTTGAAAATATTTTATTTTCCATCTTGAAAAAACTTATACGTCTACATAGGGAAACTATAAATAAAATGATCTACTGTAGATCACAAAGACTGATATATATACATATTTCTGTACTGATGTTTGTGAAAGAACTAGTGTGCTGTTAAAAAAATTTCAAAGGATAAATTCCATTAGCTCTTGGAATTCTTTACAGTACCAACATAGGAATATTTTTTTCTAGTTATGGTGCTGGCCACTTTCATATTTAGCAATGTATCTAGGTTGTTGTCTATGTTATTAATATAAACAGCTTCCAGAAATTTGTCATATTGATCTTGTGCCTTATCATAGGAGTTGTCCAGCTTTACAGGATTTTTTTTAATTCTTTAACCAGATATTGCAATGTTTCATTACACATTTTTATTGAAATGTCTATTGCATTTGAAGAAAAATATCTTATGTATACAACTGCTTGCAATAGTTGAGTATTCTTGGGGGGGGAGTAAAAAATTGGCAACATTTTGGAAATACAGAATAATCTAAATAATTTAAAGTTGTTTATGCTAAAATTAATAGTGTAAAGGACATTTTCCTCAAATTAGAATTACCTTCTTTTCATAAGGGAAATGAATTAAAGAAATGAAGCCTCTAAGCTCCTATTAGAACTGTAACTCCTGGATAAGTGCCACATCTGCCTTGTGTGGTTTAATTTACTGATGATTTTACCTTTTTTTCTCAGGAAAACAAAGTATTTATTCTTATAATATGACATGTCACAATATTACAGTGATTATCCAGTTGCTTTATGTATGGTCATAATACCATCTGCTTTGCAGCTAGCCTTCTTTTGCATGTGTACCATCTGGAACATCTATCTATATTCTAATTATTGTACAGATGAGATTTTTGTTTTTACAGAAACAACATATTGGCTGTATCCTTCATCGATTTCTTAATTTAAAAAATACAATGCAAAATAATGTAGAACAGAAGCAAAAACTTGGCATCTTAAATTAGTTCTAGCTGTCTGATTTTCCTCTGTGTTTCTCCCAAGGAATGAAAGAAAACAAGAAACCTAAATGTAAATACAACTACTTTGTTATTTATTTTAGGAGAAACAGGATCTGGGTTTTTAGGAGAGATGAGATAGCCCTTTTGGTTTCAAGTAGCTTGGTGGGTGTATATATATATATATATATATACACATCAAATTTTCCCACATTCAACTTAATTCAATTCTCCACTGTTCTGTGCAAGTACAAAAACCAAAGTTGAAAATGCTCCTAAGACCCTCCTCAGTCATTTGCATGGCCATCAGCTCCTACATTGTTTATTCACAGCAAAAATATCATTAGGCTAAGAGTCCATAACAAATTCATTATGTCTCAGAGCTTCTGCAGGAGGGAGACTTGGCAATAACTTGCAGGGAGGGGCAGACAGTGACTCAGCAACAACAAAGGTAGCATGGTGTGGCAGGGACCCATCATATGCTTTTTAAAATAACCTTTACTTTTTCTAAGTTTTTTCAAATTTTCTCTTTCTTCCTCTGTGTCTCCCTTACTATTAAATAAAAATATATCAATTTTTTAGCATCAACATTTAATCTCATTTGGTTTTTATCTCTTTTTTTTGGGGGAATGTTTTGAACCTTCAAAGTTCTTTCCATTTCATTCACAGCGTTTAGTTTTCTTTGCCCTTCTATTTAAACCAGTTCATAGCACCCATACCAACAAGTCTGCAGGATTTGCAAAATTGCCCAGGAATGCTCCAGGGCATGTCTTACAACCCTAATATCCAGCTAGGACCTTCCTGCACTTTGGCACCTTTCCAGCTGGGTTGCACCAGGACTGTGGGAGAAAGGGAAGAAAGAGAGATGGAGTGGGATTCTTCCTGGATCTCAAAGAGAAAGGCATGATAAACGGCATGATAAAATACTTGTTTTAACAAGGTAGAATAAAAAGAAGAACATAGATAGCAAATATAACTTTACATGCTGGGAACTCCCCTTTTATGCAGTATTGGGCACACCCCGAGTGGATTTTTTTTTGTGGCACGATGAATAGATTGTGTCTGTGGAGAGCCTCCTTCCTGTTCCCATACTGTGCCTTTCATTTGGTGTAACAAGCAGAACTACTGCTCTATACTTCAGAATTTCCTTCCAAAAATGATCCCACCTCTTAAGGCAGAGAAGCACCTACTACTTATTTCATTTATTTCCAAAATGGGGATGCCTCCATGCAGAGTGAGATGCACTCTGCACCATCCCTTAATAATTATATAATACAAGGGCATCAGCACAAAAGCAGTGAAATTCCCAATGCTTAGCATAGGTATAGAAAAACTTGGAAGCTTTGTAAAAAAGACCATATGAAAAACATGTAAGTATGGTCAGTTTGCATAGAATGCCTATTTTCATTCATATTTTAATTGCAGTGAGAGTGCCTTGATGATACAGATAAATGAAATACTAGAGAACTCAATCTGGCAACCAAAGGATTTTTTTTTTTTTTCTAAAAATTATGTCCCTGGAACAATTTCAAATATCACATAAAATATCCATCTCAAAATAGGAAATAGTCTAACATTACAACAATTTCTGGTCCAAAACCAGCTAGGCTTCAAATTAGGATATAAAATTTCAGGTGAAGACTGGAAAATTTATTTCCAGCTTGTACCCTGCTTTTCTTTTCCTTTTTTTTTTTTTTTAAGTCATTACAAAAGAATAATCAACATCCAGATATGAATGTTTCTTAGACTTTCTGTGCTGGAAAAAATTAAAATGAGGCTGTGTTAAATTATAAATCTTTCATTCCAGTCACAGCCCTACCTTAAGTAACTTTGAGGAGACTCATTTGTAATAATTAATAACTTTCCCTTTAGGATGAAAGGTGGAGCTCATAATTAATCACTGATATGAAAAGCACAAAAATGTTGAAATCACAAAGTAATAGGTCTGGGGTATACTATACATGACTGCCACGTTCAATATTTATTTTACTTCCCCAAAGCTTTGATGTATTTGGTAAGACAGAAGCTTTCTAGCTGCAATTACAGCAAATGCAATAAGTGCATCATTTCTTTTTCAGTTGTGTTTCTCCAGGTGGCTGAAGCAGTGTCCTGGTAGAGGCCAGGCACTGATGACCTGCCCACAGACCTTGCCGAGGATATTTCCAACAGCTCCACTGTAAGAATAGGGAGCCCAGCCTGCATCTGGACAAGTGAAACATATTTTCCAAGGGTATGAATGCATAAGACAAAGGTGGTTTCACTACTGTTGCCCATACAGTGCTTTCCTATTTGTCACCTACTGCACAGCTGCAGCAGAACCTTCTCTCCTGCTAGCACACAGTAATTAACAGGAAAGAGGAGAGAGCAAGAGACACTTCTCAAAGAAAAGAACAATTTAAGCCAAACTTACAATCACTTTCATTATAATCAACATTTTTATTTTAAAGGTAACTTGCAGTTTGAGATCATCTATGACCTTTAAGAATATCATCATGAGTACGTGTTTAAAATATATATTACACTGTGTAGGGTGTCTAATTTATTTAGGCTGATTTTCAACTTTGTACAAGATTTTTCCTTGTGTTTGCAACCTAATTTTTCTTTCTTTCAGATTAAAATTTACATAGTAGTGAAACCTGACCTAAAACCATGAGAATAAAATGCATCCGGTAAAATCATATAAAACTCTCTTAAACTGAAATGCTAAAATACACCGTCAAATATGCTAAAGGCTATTGCTTCCCCTAGTGTAATACTGCTTGCTTTGAAATTGTTTTCTTCTGGTAAGAAATCAATAAAATGCAGAATTCCTTTAATTAGATGGAATTTCAAATTAAGCATTTTATCCTTTTAGGTTTGGTATGAAAAAGCCTACAGAAATTAATTCACTGGAGAAATTATGTACAAATTGCAAGATGTTAATTTAATTCTCAGTTAATTAGGTAAAATATTCTCTATTTTTTCCCCAGACTGAATTGTGCAAAGTGATTCTAAAAAATCTGCAGCTTACATAATTCTTCAGTAAAAGACCAGCTCTTAATTCAATACATGTAGAGACAAGTTAAACAAAACTAAATCTATCACTGAACTTAAAAGAACTATAAAAGAATTAAAAGGCCAATATGAAACTTTTTAAAAAGGCTCAGACCGATGACCCTGATTCATTTTCTAAGTAAGGAGAACTTCTTGCATATGACCTTAGCTTATAACTCTTTTATGACTTAGGATTTAATTGAGCCAGTAATTCCTAAAAGTCTAAATTATTTCCTCCCTACACCCTTTTAATACTCAGTCTCTGCTTCCTCAATAATATATCCCTGTCACTCATAGTACTGAAAATAGAATTTAAATGGTTATTTATAGCCAGTATTCATCTATTTATGGAGAGATTAAGTAATATTTGAATGATGGAAGTATCTAAGTAACCAGGGCTTCCTCAAGAATTTCAAGTAGTAGTTAAAGCAGTCTCCAAGTCATTAGTGATTACTTCCCATGACTTGGAGTGTAACTGTTGCAGCACAGGTCAGGAGAAGATAAAACTTAGTTGTTAAAATTTAACAGCAGAAAAAAAAAAAAAAAACCAAAACAAAACCAAAAGCAACAACCAAACAAAAGAGTACAAGAAAATCATAGACCTGCCAGCCTCACTTCAGTATCCAGAAAGATACTGGAGAACAATCCATTAACAAATCCATTAAACAATCCATTCACAAAGCCTTGAAAGAATAACAATGCAATGAGAAGCAAATTCAATGGAATTTCTCTTTTTGACACCCTAAGTGGATCAGGGTGTCATAAACTACATGGCATTCTTAATGAAATTGGGGAAACATGGTGACGATGAAATTATTGTACCCTCTATAAAGGGGAATAAAGGACCAAAAAATAATCTAAATATGCACAGGCAATCCTCTGGTGAGTCTTCTCAGTCTGACATGAAACAGGGATCTCCAGAGATCTGCTCTGGGTTCAGGCTCATCAATATTTCTGGTAACGCTTAGCTTCACACAGAGAGCACACATTTCAAATGTTCAGACTATGCCATTTGTGCAGAGGAAAACAAGTGAGCAAACTTCATTCTGTGACCTATTAAGTGTTTATCTGGTGTCAGAGGCACAAGCTTGTTATTCTGCTCTCTTTATTTCCCATGGCACTTCAGCTTGTCTGTCTTTTAGGGATCATGCTTTAAAAATGTGGGCAAATTAAGGGAAGCATAGAGAAAAGAAACAGAAACATGAGATTTAAAAGATGCTAAATTAGAAAAGGTTAAAAGAATAGATGTTTTTACTTTTCTACTCTTCTACTATTACTGTGTTTAAAGAATCCAAGAACAGGCTGGGAAGGAAGGTATGATTAATGATAGTGCTGTTCTAGTCAGTAAAATGTTTTTATTGAGACTGTGAAGAGTTTTTCCTTCAGATTCAGGAAGGTTTTGTCAAAGAGTAATGAGCTTTTGCTCCAAGAGAACACACTGCTAGGAAGAGTCTTTCAGACATTTGACCATAATTAGTTACCTGGAAAAGCTGAGAAATCCTTGCCAATAAACAGCTCTTTGAAGGTGCTGGACTTATGTTTGAGACTGAAAAAATCGGGAGAATTAAAGACCAAACAAGCAACATTAATAATATGGAAATATGTTGTTTTTTCTAGACCCTTCTTTGGAGAATAAAATTTAGCTAGAAAAGCAAATTTGCAGATTATTTTATGGCCACAAAGAAATAATAATAATAAAAAAAATCACTTAACTGTCATCAGGACTATATATGACTAAGAAAAGTAACCTACTAAATTTATTGTAATTATAGAAAGAGGGAAATACTGATTTCTTCCCAAGATATTTTATCACCTCTCAAAAAGAGATAAAACTACACATATAATTGCACATATATTTGTTTGAGAAATGCCTCTTTTTCACGACAAGAAAAATATAAATACCCTAAAATAAGCTAAATGTATCAAGAAGGATAAAAACTGTAACTATGGTTGGAACTTTATCATCTTTACTAATTCCCATCTTGAGTTAGTCACTTAACAGAAATCATTTCAGCAAATGAAGCAAATTAGGATGTGTGTCAAAGATCTGCATATCACATTCACTGTCCATGAAGTACATAAATTAAAGGTGAAACACAAATACGCCTTAATGACACTTTTTCTGCAGCAGTCTAAAAGTAAAACAGACTTGTACCAATGCACTGATACTTTTATTTATGAAGATATAGAATGCAGAATTAAAAAAAAAACCCACAAAAATAGCCACAGCAAAGTCCCAAAAAACAACCAACCAATTAAAAAAAAACAAAACCAAAAAAACCAAAACCAAACAAAAAAACCCACTAAAAGTCTGACCACTAAATATTTTTTTTTAAATGCAAATATATATCAGGAGGAAATTATATCTTAACCACATTTTGCTTCTGCTCAAATGATTTCCACTCTTCCAGTAAAATAATACCATGTTCTTCCCTAAATCAATTAAAAAACCACATTGATAAAATTTTAAGAAAATAAATACTCAAATAGAAACTATGACACCTACAGAAAGTCATAAACACAAAATAATGAATTTAATTCTCTAATAAGGGAAATGTTCAAATAAAGACCAAATGGAGTAGGTTGGTCTCCTTATGTTTAGTAATCAATTGGGGAATTTGGTCATAACAACAATCAAAAATTTTATAAAAATATTTGATTGTCTTTATTATATATCACAGAAAGTATTTTATCTCCCTCTCTCTCCTTTCCTTGCAATTGTAAAGGTGCTACAGGCTATTTTAATTCTTTCCAATTTTCCCACTTCCATAAATATAACACTCTTATTTTTGATTTTCTATTCCCTCCCCAATTTTAAATGATTATTTCACATCTCTCTTTAAAATCAGAATTGCCAGAATATTTACTGACCTTTGAGCCATTCCAGTTTTTCATTTTTCTGTCTATTTTAATTTGAGAAACTGATTAGACAGACACATGACTATAACAGAAAAATGTTTATTTTATATTTTAACAAAGGGATGCACACAGCAGTTGGCAGGAGTTGTGTTCTGTGCATGCTGCAATTCTCAGTAAGGATGAGAGTTATTCACCACCAGCTGTTTTTGGTGCACTGATGATTGTGGGCCAATTGACCAGGGATTATTTCTTCCTCCCTACTCTGAGGTGAAGTGTTTACACATTCTCTGAATACTGCTGATGAGGAGTCCCCTGGGAAAAAGCTGGAACTATGCTGTAATCAGAGTGTTTCCGGAGTTTTTTTCTGAATATTTGTGATGTGGGTTTTTAATTCTGACCTGCATATTATAGTTTTCTAAATCATTGAAAAAATGATGGCATGACTTATGTATCTAAAAGAGAAGAAACTAAAATAAAAGCAAATCTATCTGTCTATCTGTATCTCTCAAATAATTCCACAGGTAAGGGCCTCCCTCTCGTAAGAGATATTGGAATACATTTTCTGATAACAACAGAATTGTGCTTTCTTAGTTGTGGAGCAGCATTGTAAAATCCATCCTGTCCCTCCATGTAATAGCCAAGGCCCTCAGTGCAGTTATTTTTAATTTACATAATAGCCATTGAGAGAATTTATCCATTAATCCATAGAAAATTAAGTAAACCAACCTAGTCTCTCCAAAAAATCCAAAATCCCTGGAAATAAATTTATTTATAGAACATTTCTAGCCATCAGTAAGAAAAAGATGCTGAGGAGATGAATTAAAAGAAAAACAAAACAAAACAACAAAAAAACCCAAAAAAACCTAATTTGAACACAAGAAAATTAAATGTAAACTCCAATATTATTAAAACATAATAAAGGTACTATGAAGTCACTTAACATTGATTCCATCTCTAGAACTCCATGTACTTTAGATGATACACTGTATACAGAACTAACTTCCTAGAAAATATATTTAACAGTGTAGCAAAAATCAGTAAGATATTGGAGCACATAAAAATAAACCCTGCTTAGGAAGACATTTTTATATTCCTTTTGCATAACTAAGCCTGCAACTTAAAAGTGCATTTTTAAAGAAAAAAAATATTTAAAAACACTAGTATGCAAACTATAGCAAATATGAAATACAATTATAACTCTCTAAAGAAACTGAACATAAACAGACACAAAATTTATTTATAATGAAATTTTCCATGAAATTTTCCCTTATTCCCACTGAGGAACACCTTACTTACCAGGGCTGACGTTGTGCAGAGGCAGCAGAACCTAAAAACTTCAATGTTATTTGTAGCTCTAAAAAAGAGTAAAGGAGGCAGAAACAATAAAGAGTTTGTAACCAGTACCAAATTTCTGTGTGGATCAGCAACAGAGCTGATATAAACCCATAGGTTTATATGTCTTTGGATGTGATCCCCATACCTCAGACAGACTTTCACTTGTAACTAGCAGAAATATTTACTCCTATTCTTCTGTGTTTTTCTTTTTCTTTCCTCCTCCCCTGTGCTCACATTCAAGTCTGGTGCAAAGCAGACCAATGGTTCTAGCACTTCTGAAATGCAGAAGCCAAGAGAACATGAAACAGAAATCTATTCAGCTTTACTCAGATAGTTCCTTATGAATTTATTCTTTAGGTTTTAGGGGCACAGTGCTAAAACCTGGCAGGCAAATCCACAATAGAAAGAATAAAAGCAGCAGAAACCTCGATGAAAAGGAATAATGAAGTAGAAGGGAAAGAAAGCATGGGAAGGTAAGTCCAAAAAGAGCCCTGAAAAGTACGTTTCCACCTTCCTCAAAAACCCCCATCATTCCATGGCATTGAATAATCCATAGTCAGTGTGCACCACTTCACAACCAATACACACCAACTGATTATGGCCAGAGGTGTGACTTTCCTCCCTAATTGAGTCATTCTCCTGTAAAATTAATGCTGTTCTGTTTGTTAATGAAGTGGCTGATTTTGACACATTTTCCTTGTATTTGTTTCATCATTATTTTTGTAAGAAATTCAGTTTTGGAAGTTGAGCTTTTTTGAAAAAAAAAAAAAAATAAAGGAGACTTTCTCATTGACAATTTTACTGAGGGAAAAAAAAAAACCAACCCTATAAAAGCAAAACCCCAGGCTCAGATACTCAGAATAAAATCTTCTTGAACGGACACTCTCATGGAAGGCATTGCAGTTTTTCAAGGAGTCAGATGTTTCTCAGAATAGTGAATTCATATTGTAAGAGCTCATCAATGCACAGTAAGTAGGCTAAGGCTGTTAAACAAGTCCTGGATTGAAAAACAATTTCACTACTCACATTTGTGTTCACTCTGGAGCTGTTTGCAGGAGAAACCCTTCAAATATTTGCCTCCCATTGTTTTGCATGAAATCCCTCCTCATTCTCTGGAGATACTGCAGGTGTTGACCACTGAACACAGCACTCATTGCCTATCAAGCTGGCTACACCTTCCCAATATTTCCAGGTCTCATCTTGTACACTTGCTAGAATTTAGGCCCATCTACAGCTCCACAAATTTGCATATCCTTACCACAGAGTCATTAAAGTTGGAAAAAACCTCCAAAATCATCAAGTCCAACCTTTGACTGATCACCACCTTGTCAACTGCAGAACTGAGTGTCACATCCAGTCATTTCTTGGATTTGTGATTCCACCACGTCCCTGGGGCAGCCCATTCCATTGACAACCCTTTCAGTGAAAAAATTCTTCCTTCTTGTATGACTGTAGATGCTCACAAGTTAGATTGCAGACAGAAATGATTCATGTGGCAGAGTCAACAACCACTTCACCAGGAAAAAAAAAAAAAAGTTAAAAAAGTCAGGAACTGCTTAGGAATCTTTAAGGATACATAAACCACAGCTTATTTTGCTGCTGCAAGTAGTAAATTTCAGCATGGTCGCTATCAAACAGCTGTACATGAACCAGTGGTTGATTATGGAGCCCTGAGGTTATGAGGCTCCTAAGTCTTCTATTCTTACAGTTAAAAAGATGAACTGAAATCAAACCCAGTTTTTTAATGAAATCATTGGTTGCAGTCCCAGGGAAGTTATGAGATTATTATTAAAAGGTGTGCTCCATGCTAAGCAAAAGATTGAGAATACCTTTCCTTGCAAATAAGGTTATGAACCAGGCATATGGGTTATATCAGAGACTCCAAAGGAAATTTTGGCCTCCCTGAAGGTAATGGAATTTTTTCATTTTATAAAAATGGCATTTATTACAAAATGACATTTATAATAAAATACCATTGTCGTGTTAACAATATTCTATTTCCCATCACTGAACTTCTTGAAAAAGTCACTTCACCTTTCTAAACACCCTATTCTTGAGCTATAAAATAAAGATAATAATGAATTACTTCTCTTTGTGAGATATTTTTAAAATTATGATAAAAATCATCGTAAGTCTGCATTCTCAGGAATACAGATTTCATTTCTGCATGTCAAATATATGGCACCCAATTGACATCACAATGTTCTTCAACAGAAGATTGGTTCTATACTAACGGAAAATTAAGAAATAAATTATATGATTATACTGAGGTTTTATAGTTCTGCATTCATTTGCAGTAGTTAAAGCTTGGCCATTTATCCTGGCAATGAAATAGATATTTAAAAGTTCTATTAAGATGAGAACAAAATCTGGCTAGCACAAATGACTGATCTTAAAGTTACATTCATTTCCATCAAGGAGTGATATTTTTATGGTCCATTCTCCATCGACACTTTGGCAGGTGTCAGAATAATAGCACTGAGCATCAAGGAATTCCCATAGATAAGATTCTCAGCAGATGTAAATCAGCAGAGCTAGAATGTATTAGAGTCACAAGAAATTATATCACCTCAGAATGTGCTCTCAGGTATCTGCTATCCCCACTAAAATACCTCTCAAGTCAGCAGTGTGCACTGTTATCACTGTATTGAGTCTTAAATGTCATGTGCTAAGCCTGTGAATCAATGCAAAACTCACCAGACTAGAATTGATTAAATTATTGTGATGAGTTTGCAAATTTTCTGTATTTTGTGTCCAGCTTTTTCATAGTCTTATGTTTTCTATGTGCTCTCTTTTGCTTTTCATTAAAAAGTAAATCGGTTTTATCCAGTTCTAAACAAAAAATGGCATTTTCAAGTATACTTTGGGGACAGAAGACACAATCTAAAGATGTTTTAGGCTTCAGCAATAAAATTGGAGGGGAAAAAAACCATTCTGAATACTAAGCAAGAAAGTTTCTTCTTCTTTTTTTGTGCCTTCAGGACCTGTCTACCCACACCCAAGTGCTGCACGAGTTCCAGGAGCTGAGATTGACCTGTAGGACTGTTCATCTCTAGATATTGAAGGTGATCTCCATGCACTGTCTCTGTGGGGCTCAAAGATAGCATCACAAAAGGGCCTCATTCCCCAGGGAAAAAGCACAAGGGACAAATGCCATGAGTGCAGAGCAGGGCTCTGGGAACAGCATCCCAGATCCTATCACAGACCACCAACATAAAATGGAAACCTTCATGAGCACTTAGTAGTAGCCAGCACAATAAATAACTTTTCCCTGGTACATTTATTTAATGCAATGCCACAGTATTTCCCTCTCTAATTAGCATTGCTTTCCTGTAATTAAACTTTTGGTTTCTATAGAGAGATGCTACAGCTATGAAATTTATAATTGAAAATGTTGCCCCCAAATTGCAGATTTCAGCTACATCCATGCATTCTTAACAGATCCCATAGCTTTGGCAGTGTGCAATAGGAACAGATTTTTGAGGGAAAATGCCACAGAAGGTGAGAGAATAGAAAATTGCTTTGGTGTGGTAGATATATCTGCAAAACAAAGCCCACCACTGCACAAACCACCAGCTAAAAGCTATAAACCATGCATTACAGCTCTTCTGTTGATATTCTGAAAATAATTATGATTGTGAGCTGTCAGAAAGATTCACTGCACCAGTTATGTTCATCAACAGCTGACAACCTACCTAGGCAACCCCTTTTAAAATCTGAGCCTCCCACAACACTAATGAGCATTAAAGAACAAAATATATAGCTCCCATGAGTCAGAGGCACAGCATCATAGCTTACCAGTGCTATAAACAGTAAATCTTTACATATGCCTATTGGCAACGATGCTCCACAAATGTCAGCATAGGCTCTTGTTTTCTAACTTCATCAGTAATGCTCCTCTTCATTACATTTACAATGTGCCACCTAAAATCAAGCACACCAGCAGAGAGAAGAGTGTTTGACACTGAGAGATTTTCCCTTGGGGTGGGAAGAAGTAGGCTGGTATGGAAAGGGTTTTGTATGGCATTCAAGCATGAGAGCCCCCCTGAAGCTCTCTAGGTTTTTCTCGGAGCACTATACTACTGTTTCTTTCCAGTGAAAGGGGTTTTTGTTATGCTTTTTGTCTATTTTTTTTTTAAGCAATATTGGCCATGGAACTCTGCCACAGTCTCTATCATATTCTATTCTGCAAAGTAGCCATTTGTCACCATGTCATATGCGCCACAGGATCTCATTGAGGTGTCATGCCCTCAAAACACATTCCTGCTTCCAGGAACGAGACACAATAAAACAGGAGTATATGCCACTAAAGAAAGAAATTGTTTTGTTTGTCAGGACTGTTGAGAGCAGTAACTTCACTTGGAGGAGCACTCTGAGATTATTTTAGTACAGTTGTCACATACACAGATAAACCCAGTGAAATATAGCTTTCGGGATCATTATTTGTACAGCATTTCAAAGCAATTTGTCTTGACCTAGTGCTTTCATACATACATGATACTTGGAACTCCTGGGTGCATCCACAGGCCACTCAAAAACTGAAGCCTAGATAAATGTAGCAATCAACTGTGAAGTACCACATGAAGAATATAATTTCATTTAAATAAGACAACAAACAGCTCATTGCTAAGTACAGTTTTCTAATAACATACTAGAAAAAGAACAGGAAAAATGTTCAAGTGATGAGAAACATTTCAGACTCCTTCACCAAAACGCTGAATTTCATTATGCAGTCATATAAAAGAATATTGCTGTGCATGCAGAAGCATATTTATTTCATTGCCCCCACCAGTGCTTTTCAGCATGGTTCCATGGAAATCTGCACTGTCCAAAGGGAGTTATAGATGGATTGCAGGCAGGAAAAACTTCAAGTACAAGTTTAAAGTTGAAAACTTTCAGTTGGTGGGAAAATCTTCTGGCATAGAACCCTCATGCACTTTGGACCACTCTGAATCAATAAATATATACCCCCCAGTGATCTTTGGGCATGGACTGTCCCATATGCACTATTCTTACTTTCATGTTAAATTCCTGTGTCCTTGATATTTTGTATGTAGCAATGATACAGGGGTCAGATGATGCATGTCATCAATAAGTAAGAATTTTACTGGAGAAGCTTTCCTGCCTTCAGATCCAGATGTTTGGGAAGGTTCTTTGCAGGCAGCTCCTTACAAAGCCACAGTTTTGATTGATGGCTAAAGGAGAGAGGTAAAGAAAAATCAGTAGCCAACCAAAAAATCAAAGAGGAGAGCTAGGGGCTCAAATGGAAGTGTTCCATAGGAAGAAAGAGCCAAAGAAATATCCAGCATGTCCTCATAGTTCTGGTCTTCCTAACATGGACACAAGATTTGCCCAAAAGCTTGTCAAATAGATGAGATTACAGCACTGGTCTTGACAGCAGTGAGACCACAACCTTTGGGACACAAGTGGCTTTTTGGCTGATAACCCCAGGTAACTGAGAGGTGAATTCTGTTTGCCCTCCCAACAGCCCATCTGGCAGCTTGGTTTACCCTGGCTGACAGCAAATGACAGCTCGTGACACAGACTCTGCTAGTCCTGCTCTTCTCCCAGTAGGAGGGGAGGATGCCCATTATGACTGTGACCAAAAGGAATGGAGCAGAGTGGTGTCAGAGACCTCCACAGAAAGAGCAGGAGACACAGCAAAGCTCCGTTTCTGTGGTACAAATCTGTAGGAATCTGACAAGTCTGGCAAGGTAATCTTCCAGAGAGGAGTTTGCAAGCACTTGAGCAGTTACTGTGGTTACTGCAAACCAGATGACAAATCTGTCTCTTGGTTACTTTGGTCATACCTATGTCTGAAAAGCATTCAAGGAGCAACAAAAAGAAATTACATGGAGCCTAGAAAAAGTATTTCCTTTCACAGGTTTAACATTTTCTGAGCTTTAATTTAATTAAATGCCTTCCTGCACTTCATCTGTTAAAAAAAGCTCATATTCTCTGCTGTTGACTCCATTCATTCGAGTGGATCAGAAGAAGAAAAGAAAGCCCAAATTCTGCTTCCAGGCAGGTTGAAGTCCAGTGCAGCTTGGTATTCATCTTGCTCAAAAAAATACATGTCATATATCTCTACCCAATAAATACCAGATAACATTTTCCATAAGTTATTAGACCACAGTAATTATTCAGTCCACCTCCTGCATAACCTGCCTTTTCAAGACACACTACTACAGAGATTCTTGTAATAAGTTTTACCTACCATTCACCCTGCTGAAGTCTGTTAATTAAGACTTTCAGACACATGCAATAATCCTGACTTTTCTGCTCCTGGAGGACTATGCATATGCATGAGTGATCTCTGCAGCTGGAATGTTAACACAGATGAGGGTAATATTCTATATATGGAACAGTAGCCATATGCCCACACAGCACACCTTGCCCCTTTTACATAAATATAATCCAAATCTACATTCTAGGATATGCAGTGCTTCAGAAAAGATTGTTTGGGAAGGGGAGGTTCACAGGACAACAAATTTTCTTTAAGCCTTGGGGAAAAAGGAAAAAAAGGTAGCAATAACAGTTCTGATGCTTCCCAAAAATAAAACATAGCTATCAGAACTCCCTGGCTATTTGACACCTCATTTTCTCTGCAGTAATAAATACATCTAAGGAAGCTTTTATTTTGATAGTTTTCTCTGAAAAACCCTCCACCCTCTTCAATACAAGATTTTCAGTACCTCTGAAGTTCATTCCAGTTATTCAATCTTCCTTACTGCATAAAACACAAAAAATGTCTTTTCTGGCTGAGAAACAGGAGACCTTTTGGGAAGCTATCCAAGCATTGTAATATTATAGGATACAGGATTCTTATGCAGTCCATCAGGAAAAGCAGACGCCTCAGAAAGGGAGACCAAAGTCTGTCTGGACATGTTCTCCAGTGAAATATTCACCTCACGAGCTGAAGATCACTGTCTGATGCTCTGATTGCTCTCAGGATTCTGACTCCCACCTTTTGCCTCCCAACACTGTTCTCTAGGCAGCTGGCTATTCCAAAATGCAGGACAATCCCAATATACCCAGGACGAGCTTCCACATGGACAAGACAGATGTTCAATCAGAAGGAGAAAACCCCACAATTATTTTTACTACCCTTCCATTTCTTCTCTGAGGTGCTCATGAAATGCTAAACTGGACTTTCATTCTCATTCTGTCTTTCTGTAAGAAAGATACTGTCTGCAATGGCTCAACCACCTTGCAAAATTCAAATAATGGTCTCCATAGGAACGAGATGTGTCCCCTCAGTCTTTACCATATTTAAGGCCTATTTAGTGAACAGGATATTTAAGATAACTCCTGTACACAGAAACATAATGTTAGTATAGTTCTAGCAAAATCTGAACTTTATTGTTATCTTGAAATTTCTATTCTTAATGCACAGCAACCTTCCTTTCATGGTGGACTTGCCTGGCCTAAGCAGATGCAGTCAAATTTTTGCTGTTTGCAAAGATACCAAATGAGCTGCATTTCATCACATGATTTGCCATTTTAAACAACAAAGTCTCCTATCTCAGGGGACTTGGAATTCACAGGGTCTGCTCAGTACACTAGTCCAACTTAATCACCACCCATCTATCAGAGGACAGTAACTGATATTCCTAAGGCAGGAAGGATTTTTTTTTTTTTGCCTCATACTTGAAGTTCAGTAAGTAATTTATGTCATAAGACATGAAGGAGACAAGGTAACTATGTCACAGCTGTCAAGTCACAGCTCAATTGAATTAAACCATTTTTAAGAAAAAAGAAAATATTCAGATTTATCATTATGCTTTTTTTGTTAAAAACAAAAAAAAGACATTAATGAAGAGTTAATATTAAAAAAAAAAAAACAAGTAAAAAATCCCCTGACTTTGAAAATACTCATTTATCTGCAGCATATTTGAACTGAATATTTGCAACTAGCTGTAATAGCCTTAGAGTAAATTATGCATTTCCTCCACAGATCCTATTCTTTTAATAACCAATTGTTTCCTAATACACAAAAATAATAATAAAAAAAATATGTTAACACACATTTGTGTCATAGTAAATGAAAACAACGTTTTGCCACAAATTGTCCAAGAGACAGAATAAGTAATGTGGTCAAATTCTAGCTTCTGTTCTACAGAGATTCTAGGAGATTTTTCCTTAAAAGAAAAAGAGGAAAGAAAAACAATGGAAATTAGTTGAACTTCTTAACTAAAAGCACTCAGGTGCAACATAAAAAATAAAACAAAAATAAATAGGACCATACATCCTTCAGCTGTACCAAAAAAATCTTTAATTGATTCTCATAGGTATTGCACAGATGAAGCAGATAGCAAACAGAACTTAAGGCATAAACCAAGAATTTTTTGTTCTATGAAATAAATGTTACTATACCTTCAATCTTCATTGTGTTTCTTATACATGTAGGCACATGTAAATGCATCTTCAGGAACTGCAGAAATGTATTTAAATTAAGATGACAAAAATTTCACTGTGTTATCTCAGTGAACTCAATATGCTAGAGGTACTATTTGTGGAAATAGCCCAGTTTAGCATCTAAAGCAATGCATCTCTGGCAGCTATTGACAGGAGATTCTTGTTAGAATATGCCACTTGTGAAAACAGAACCCATCCCCAGATGCCTATAAAAGGTTGCTTAATTACTTAAACTACTTTTATTTCCAATTGATACTTTCATGGAATGCTTATGGTACCTAATTGATTGAACATTAGTTTCATTTTATGTTATGTCTGATGAGTTATTGACTGCCCTTTGCTTTCACTCAGTCCTTTACTGGTGAAACACATAAAGAGTGAATACTCCAAACCTTCTGCATCAGTGACTTGTCCTGGCAGGGCTGGTACAGGCTTCCACACAAAAGATTCCTCCTTGGTTGTTTGTTTTTGGTTTTTTTGTTTTTTTTTTCCCTTCCTCTCCTGGCTCTAGTCTTTGAAAGAAGAAAGCTCAATACTCAAAGAATTGACCCTTTCTCTTGTTTGGGCATTTTTTGGAGGTAGAGAATTGCTACCATTTTGGCTATACAAATCAAACCTGAGTTCTGCAAAAGCATAAGATTTTTCCATAAGACTACATGGCAGACTCTAAATCTTCTTACTGGGAATTTGTGCTTGAGCTCAATTGACACTTTAAAGAGTTTAAAAATTGCCTTTTAATTTCAGTAATTTGTTTTCCTTGCTGTCATTTTAGTTTTGTCAAATGAAGGTCAGTGCACGTTTCAGGGACCACTTAAAAAAGTAAAACTAAGTTGTTTGTATTGGTTAAGCTAGTGAAAGAAGACTGAAATGGTTCTGTTCTGAGGGTACTTAATCAAGCAGAACAGATGTTTATTATACAATTAGGGAACACTTTGCCATCAGTATGAACAATTCATGAAATCAAATTGCTCCATAATACTTTCCATTATTTCACAAACACTTGCTGTGAAGAATTGAGGGTATGCAAAAACCCAGATCCTGTGCTATTCTCCAGCCCCAGGCTTTATTTAATTACCCAGCAGGGGAAACAATGCTGCCTGTTAGCAAAAAGCCAGAAGAGCTAGAGCCTTCTTCAGCAGCCAGCCTGGTACTGAGGGCTTGGATAGGAGGGCTGTGTGTGAGGCATGGCACAACTCCACTGCACTGTGCTCATCCTGCTCCAAAACATGGCAGGAAGGTAAGAAATAGAGAATTACCCATTCCCAGCTTCAGCAGCTGGTCCAGAAAATGCTCAGTTATTGGAACCTTCTGGCCCAAACCAGCCAGCACTCTCCTGGACAGAGCTCAGGCACAGTGCAGGTGTGAACACGAAGCAGTGACTTGTCCCTCAGCAGTTCAGAGGGGGCCTCTCTGTTTTGAAGAACAAAGAATTTACCTTTTTTTGGACAGAGAAGTTGTTGTGCTACTCAGCCTGAGGGATGGAGAATAGCTTCTGACCCATCTCACAAATGTAGAGAGATGTTCCATATATAGGCCCCTAGCAAATACCAAGGCCAGGGAGTCCCTAACTGGGGAGCACCCAAATTTTGGTGCTCCACTCTCACTGTACCAGATCAGGGGGTGCTTCCTCAGGAACTCAGCACACGGTGGCACTGTGCATGGCAGTCAGGACACCACTTAGGAAGGAGACCAGAGGAAATTCTCTCACAACTGCTCAGGAGAAGAGACAGGGAACAAAGCAGCCAAAATGATGATTGGCTAGTTCCTGAAGCAGAGGAATACTCACTGGAAATCAGCTCCAGAACAACTATCTACTGCCCTTGCAATGCTGTCATCTGGAACAACTGAGCTAAGAATAACGAGACCCCAGAGAAGGAAGTTGCATCTGTGGATGGAACCATTGAATGAGGTCATTTCACCAGATCTTTTATCACCAAGACCAGGGTTCCTTGACTAGATCCTTTCTTGAGGGAAGGTGTCCCTTGCAGAGTGAGTGGTGGGCATCCAGCCCTCACTGCTAAAACACTGCTACCCCAGCCCCCTGACAGCATCTCCACAGTCTGTATCTGTGCACATGGAAACTATTCAAACTCCAGAGACATCCACTGACATTCCCAAATTAGTTCTGGCAGCAATTGTTACCAAAGTGCTCGAGATCTATCCAGATAGAACTATCTGATAGATAAAATGCCAATGGATGATGCTTATGAACACACAGTTTCACTACTGAGATTCACGAGACTGATTTACCCATTCAAATGCACTGCAGATGGATTCTTATGATCTGCTGTTAAAAAGGCAGCTCAGACTTAAACCCTTTTATTATTATTGTTACCTCACATGCAGAAATCCCTTCAACAGCACTACCAAAAATAAACTTTTACAAATTAATGATTTGCCACATGCAGATATGATTTTTTTTTTTTTTTTTTTTGGGTTTAGACTCAAGGTCTGATTTCTAGAGTTTCCCAGTAGCACCAGTTCCCACACAAGCTGCCATTGTTACTGTTTTTTCAACCTGCTCACCCATTTCTAGGTCCCAGTCTAGAAAAAAGAAGACAGTACATTATTTCCTGTCACCCATTTCTAATGATAGTAATTTATTCTGTTGCTGGAGTCTCTGAATAACATACAGGCATATCTTAGTCTTCACATAAATATTTTTGTGTCTAAAGTTTTAAATACTTATTTCAACACAGAAAACTTTGAGTGAACAACAGAGGTTGCAATATGAAAAGGTAAGGCAGAGAGAAGACAGTTGATCTCTAGCAGATCTCTAGCTTGTAGCTACAAATCAGAATTTGGAGCTGGAATAACTTTGCAAATAACAAAGTCTGCACTGTTTATGTAAGTGATTTGTGATATGTTCTTGCTGAACCTCATAGATATGACACAATAATGTGACTGGTCTGTTTCTCTTCTTCCCTAGTTTCATATTCAGAGTCAGCTAACTGTGACAATTTAAGTACCACAATAGTGGAGTAAAAAAACATAACTAAGTAGCTATGCAAATACTGTTTTAAATGTAAAAAGGCTTACTCCAGCAACTAATCTCTTAGTATTATTTAGCATTTACAATATGTACTATTCAGCTAAGAGTTGACAGCATGTTAGATTCTGCTGAAAACTTCTAATATAAGGCCAAACCTTATGACTATAAACTGTCACAATCAATGATAGATCAACATCTGACTAAAAGGAACTTAACAGTCATTTTTAATTCATTGTATGATTACCTTTCTCCTGCAACCTCATACTGTTTTCCTTCAATGTGAATTGCAGTTGAAAGGCTATATCTTCATAAAGGAACTCAGCTCTAGAGAAGGAACGAACTAATAAAAGACAACCAATGCTATCTTTGGCATATTCCGACTTCTAGTTTTGAAAATATTTATTCCTCTGCTTGGCACTTGAATTAATTTCTCTGAGTTCTTCTTAAATTCCAATTAATTTTTTTTCCATTCAGACTTTGTCTTAGTGTAACACACAGTACTACACACCCTACTTGAATATTACTTATTTCTTTCACTTTATATTTTGTTTATACTTGATCTGGTCCATTTTATTTTTTCTATGATCTAAATGGAGAAAGATACCTCTGCCTACCACAGTATGGGCTCTCCATAAAGAAAGAAAAGAAAAAAAAATTTACTGCAGAAGAAAAAATATCAGAAACTGAGAAGGATATGATTAGGCCTGTTAATTTTTAAAGGGATCCAAGGAGCATATATGCTGCTTGGAAATTGGCCCTGTGGAAATGGAACTGATATTAAATCACTTGGAGAACTGCACCACAGCTCTTGCTGCAGCTGTGCAATCTACTCAAGAAGAAATATTAATAAACAAATGGTTCCTTCGCTCTCTTGCAGGTTCTGGAGTTTGTAACCAAATTTCCCATGAGACTTTGGATGTGGCATTTTTTGCTCAACTTTCTTGGAAGAACTCTAAGGAGAAAAGTGGTAAAAATAACAAACTAAACCCTCTGTGACAGGAATCATGAATGCCTTCCTACCCACTTTGCCCTTCATTCAGCATGCCTCTTAAGAAGGAAAGTTCCCTCTGGTCTGTGCTCAGCCCTTGTACTGCAGATTGTCCCTTTTAGTCATCTCACTATATAAAATTCCTTTGAACACTGTTCTGTCTTGACGGCACTTAGTGTTTAAATGCCAGATGGTGAGGCATGGTATCTGGCCTTATAAATAAATAATAATTTCTGTTGGATCTCTGAGATTATTGCTCGAGTCCCTTTCTGCAATTGCTCTCTTTTGAAACAGATGCAGAAGAAGTTGATAAGGTAACATAATCACATAATATTTAGCATAAAACTATTTTACTGTCAAAAGTTAGATATCTTTCAACACCTATTTGGAACAAGAAAAATATTCCCAAACCAAAACGTTTTGAAATACTTTTCGCTGCCCCAACCTTATTACCATTATTAAAATTTTCAGTTCACCCTGGTTCATGACAAATGTGAATCAACTGAAAGACAGATTTAAGAAAAGACAATAGCAGATTTTTCGTAAGTAACAGCAGACTTTTTAAGTCTATAAAATCACTGTAAATAGTTTTAGTGACATTGAAAATAACGTGGCATGGTCCAGGAATGGAAATAATTACTTAAAGAAAATATTGCCTAACAGTGACCACTTCTACTTCATTAGAAATTGCACAATGAGCTATGAAAAAAGAAGGTTTCTACCCAAAAGAGAGACAGACTTTAATGCCTTCAAAATACTGACATAATTCTATCACTCCTTCCAAAATATTTGTAAAATTTGATGATAGTTACTATTTTGGAATAGTTTGTTTGTTTGTTTTGTAACATCATCGTCATTCACACCTTTTTCCATGAACGATCTTCACCCCAGATGTTAATGAAATGAAAGCTGGCACATGCCAGCTTCTGCAGCAATAGGTCCTGGTGAAGCCAGACGTCTGCAGCTACATAGCAAATACTAAGAGGAATCTACATGGCACTGAATGCTCTGCTTTGGCAATAAATGTTTTAAAGCAGCTCTAAAACTGTGGACAAAACCAATACTTGGATTGTATGGAGCCTTTGCCATTTTCTAAGCTAAAATAAGAACATAATTTTGCAGACTCATTTAAAATCAGCATCTTTCTTTGAATATATTGCATTTGAGGTCGAGGACTTACCATCATTTTTTGTTGCTATGTGGTGGATAAGATCTCTGAAGACTGTCACCTCCAGTGTGATTGAGGACACACATCAAAGCCAGAGAAGAACCAGTAAAAATTTTTATAAAACAGACAAAAAGTTCACCTGAACCTCTGGTGCCATGTCCAAAGAATTGGATAAATCTTCCGGCTTTAAGCTTTTAATTTAAAGCTTTAAGCTTTTAATTACCTTACTGGTAAATATGCAATAGTAAACTGCATTTTAGAAAAAAAAACAAAGAAACTTCCTGCACTGAAGAA